TTGTTAATGTCTGGCTGGCATAATTATTTAAAATAGTACAATTATCATGTACAGTTAGTTCAATCTGTCTGTTCATGGTTGTTAGAAGCAGGACAAAATTACCCAACATATGATGTGTAGAAATGTAACAAGATAAAATATATTTCAGCTTGATAATTGTGGACCCATTATTAATTGAAACCAAGGCAAGAGCCAGATTGATTTGTGTGAAAAAGCCTTGGTCTGGTGTTTGGTTGTCAGATTGGCCGAGTATGCCAATCAGTGAAGCAACGCCACTGTCTGAAATCTAAAATTAGCTGGGTTCACTTAATATACTCACTGTCAAGTGCTCATTTTCAACTAAAATCGGAACAGACAAATTAGGACGAATTTCAACAGAAAACCAGTCTCAAACTTCAAATCGTGAGGGAAGTCGTGCGACCACATTAGCATTTATATATTATGCGTGCTTCGCTGTCGCCATTGGCATTGTTATAAATAAATTGTCTCACTTATCAGATCGTGTGTGCAATTCTTGTTGGCGGCGGAAAGTACGAAATCTATTTCAGTTATTTCATTTGGTAAAGAACTCTACAAAAGAAGAGAGCGTTCAGAATCCAGATCGTTTCGTTTCAAACGGCAATTTAATACCGTCTTCTGTTTCGCTCTTTCAGCGAAGCCTTGTAAATCGCAAAGTGTTTCGAATAGGCTTACATGCAACTGGATCTCAACATCAACCAAAAGGTACTTTTCTTGAAGAACATATATAACGTATCAAGTCTGTTTGAAATTAATGAAACTCAAGTAAAGGTTACTATAGTTTACACCAGTCGTAATGTTGCTATTCCAACACCTCACGACAAGCAATCCCCATTGGCATAACGGCAAAACATCTCTTCCTTCAAGTAAACAATAAACAGTCTGTTCTTGTTCCATTTATAATCGAAAAGTGATCAATTTTCGAATTTTGAGCTTATCGAAAGCCTTTGTGATGAATCACTGACCTAATTATAGAATCCAACAGCAAACAGCCAATCAGAATGCCGGGTTCGTGGGCGAACGCGGAAAGTACAAAATACCGGGCCTTGCTTGCAGGCCCACTAGCAGTTCCCTTGGGCCTGCACGCGGGCTAAATGAAGATGTTGAATTGTCAGGATTTGTATGTAAGAAACTAGGTGCTATTTTCATGTCTGAGATGGAGACTAAGTTGCTGCATCCTAGAAAGTGTGAACAGCAAGGTTTACACTGTACAGTTAGCAGCTTCAAGGCTACAACACATGGACAAGCAACCATTGTCAATAGCAACATTGACCAAGCATGTCATAACCTGCCAGATAAAATAGTGATATAATTGAACATGGCCAGCATCCTGTTCTGCTGACACCTTTACAATATAACATGTTTTTAATGGATGAAAATGGGATAAAAAAATAAAAGTAGTGTAAACTGTTGTCTATGCCCACAATTTCGCTGTGACTTATTTTTAAATCACGTCGCCTTTTATCAGAAATTGCATTGCAAGTTGCAGATTTACTAGAGGGGAGTGCACCCTCCAAGCCCTGACAGGAGAGGGCGAAAGGGGTGCTTTTTTCATGATAAAGCAAAAAATAATAGAGACAAAATGAGATACAGTAATTTGAGCAATAACATGATAAGCAAACTGTGAACAACAATTCAAATTCAAATGTAGTATATTGATGGGCGAGTGGCACACATGACCGACACAACTCTGCACCAGAGCTTCAGTGGCGCCGCCAGCTCGATAATTGGGGGGGGGGCGAATATTCATATCTTCGTGTTCTGCATTATTAACTTCTTTTGAAATTGATTGTTTTTATGCTCTGTGAACACAAATATATG